AATACCTGAAAACAGGCAAAGATGATGCTGCCATAAGGGATCACCACGCTTTCCACCTGACGATATTTTCCGGAAGTCAATAATAATATTCGTTTGTCGGTGATAGGTCGCAAACAATTTGGCTGAGCATCAACACTCCCCAGCCCATTATTGCCATTGGAAGTCAAGGCCAGGTCGCGGAGGAGCCTCGGAAAATCTTCCTGGTTATAAGTAGAGGTGTCGAGGACTCTGCGACCGGAGTTTGGACTGGGCCAGGTAAAGATCAGATTTCTCGAATGGCCGTCCAATATTTGAAAGATGCGACCCGATTCCTCACCGGTTCTATCGTGCAGAGGTTGATTGTCAAGATGTGGAGTGGCCGGAGGAGTTTGCACCTTCTGGGATTCGACTGACGAATGTTTGTGCAAGAGTGACGATAGCCTATTTAACTCCTAAAAGTAGGAAAAGGAACATTTTATTTATCATCATCTTCACCAAGGAAGGGAATTGACAATAATACTTTCTTTGAAAGAAACTAGATTACTGAATGCATACGTCATTTGTGAATTCCGTCTCACCGCAAGGGTTTATGACACCATTCCTCGATTTTCCTGTGATAGAGAAGAATCGATACACATAAGTTTTTCATGCTGTTGACATGTCGTGCTAAAGGAGCCAAAGAAATCTCACCGGATTCCGAATGAAAACATGCGAGCACTACATCGTGACTAACCACGCTCATTCCAACATCCATTATTATGTAATCATCGGTAGTCGTTGACGTGGTGGGATAATTTGATGCCTGAAAGGGTTTCGGCGAATTCATCGCCGAAGCTTGGAATTTTCTCCGTATCGCCGAGACGCTATCATATTGGCACCTAGAGGAAGAAGAAGAAGAAGAGGAAGAAATGAGTCGATTGTAGTTCAAAGGATGTAATTGGTCACAAGTCACGTGCCATTAAGAGGAGGAAAAGGGGGGGGGGGGGAGAAGAGCCATTGAGGGTATCCATCTGTGGATGGTACCAGGTAAATGGGTCTCTTCTTCTCGGAAGGTTGAAGAAGAGGGTGAAAGAGAGACTAATCAACTCATCGAGGTACATTTGAGTGATGTGGGGGGACAAAATTTTGGCGCATGTTGAAAATCGATTACAAATATAAAAAATACCTGGTAACCGAACAGGTTAAAGTCTTCTTTTTAACAAAATCCGAGAGGTCACGTTTCGCAATATCTTGGTCTTGTGGATGAACATAATCGAAAAAGGAAGTTCCCAATAGTAAACTTTGTTCGGGACCAAGGGCCTTGGCAAGCCATGATGAAATGTAAATGAAGCTCAGGTCCTTTATCGACAAGAGCGACCAAAAGCAAATAGTCTCTGAAGGCATCTTTTTTACAATTTTGTGATGAATGGATGAGGGTGTGGATGTAAGATGAATTGATTGATTGATTGATTAGTTGTGATCGTTTGTTTTTCGTTTTGTTATAAAGGGTCCGGTTAGGGAGATTTGGTGAGAGGAAGGGAGGAGGAATTCAGAAATTAAACGCGAACTGTTATATAGTAATTTTGGTTTCACGAAAGGTAAAATTTGGCGAATCGCTTGATGTATGATTGATAATTTTAGTTAATTATTTCGTTTTATATAAATCGTATATGCAAGGTGTGTAAGAAATCAAATCTTAAGTTTAGTTTTTAAGACGTAAAACCGAAAATTCGGATTTGCGGAAATTTTGTGTGCAAGGTGTATGATACAGTGGAAGGTGGCTTCACCGGGGAAAGGGGGAAGATTGCTTGAAAAGGTATTAAAATTTTTTTTCTTTGGTGCAGATGAATTGCTTCCTGTTCGTTCCAAAATTAAGTAAGCGAAAGTTGGAGATTTCGCCCTGCAAGAATATCGTCCTCGAGATAGCAATCGATAGTGAACGCGCGACCAAGAATCAAAGGTATCAATGTACAGCTAATGAATCCCCAGTGAAAAAAACAAGAAGCATCTATGCATCTAATTGTAAAGGAAGTAATATTTTTCTATATAATACAAAGAGGGAAAAACTTAATCTTATATGTCTAGCGAAGAGAATTACAGTGTGAATCCTTGTCGACGTCACCCCAAAGGGATTTAAATAGAAAGAGGAGAACGCCGGCTTGTATATTCTAGAATGAAAGAACAAGCTCGTCCGGTTATCAGAAAGGTTTTGTCGATACGCATGCGCAGGTATCAACGAGGAAAGAAAAAAGCAAGAAGGTTGTTTCTTTTTTTTTTTTATATGTGTGTACGTATGTACAGTGTGTCTGTATGTATGTGTGTACGTACGTTTTTTTTTTTTTTTTTTTTAAAAGAAAAATGAAGAGGGAGAAATAAAGATGGAGGAAATTCGAGGTAGATATAATTTTTTTGAGAGGAAATGAGCAACCAAATACCATATTTATGTGAATATTGTAAGTGCGGATGTGTATCAAAGTGAGAAGTCAATGTTTTTTATACAGTGTGTGTAAACAATAGTTTGGTTGCCAATCGGGTTTCGTGAGGTAAACACAGATCACATCTTACTTATCACCCGGAAGAAACGTGTGGTGACAAGGGAGTGTGTGTGTGTGTTATAGAATAAAAAAGTCATTGTGGTCATAACACTCAATTGCATACTCTTGTGTGATTAGAATGCGTGCGATGGAAAACACCTTAAGCAATCGGGTAAGTGATACATCAGATATTGAAGTTTACAATAAAAACATAAATATATGTACGGTGTGCATATAAAAATATAATAAGCACAGCCTACTTCCAAAATTGAATAAAATCTCAAAAAAACTTCAAAAAGTTTATTAATTATGATCTCAGTTTAAAAAGAATACAAAAGACGGGGGAACTTAATATGTTGAAGGGGTACAAAATTTATGTTCGATGATCGTATCACACACGCACCGGGTGAAGTAATAAAAGGGTGATCCCACCCGCCTCCCCTTCTAAGAATTATCTTAAATATGAAACTGTGACCCGAATTTAAATGGATTGATTATTAAAAGGTGATTTTTTAGAAGAAATTAAGATCAAAGTAATTTGTACCAGAGATTGAGGGTGCAATTACTCTGAAGGGCAAGATTGGACGTTTAAGGAATCGAACCCCGTGGAATTTGGATCTCTCGCTTGCACGCAAGCACACACGTAAATGTGAGAAAGGCGAATTGGGAGAAGGAAGGCTTGTCTCGTTTTTTTTTTTTAATCGAAAATTCAAAAAACGAGACGTGTGATGAAGGATTTTTATTAATCCATACATAAATACGGCGGGCGCCTGCGTATTTACATTACAGTGTGTGTGTGTGTATATTAGTGCTGTATTAATTACTACTGTATGTCAATCGAATTTTCTTTGTCTCTTCACCCGTATATCTTTGGGTTATTAAATTAATGCACATTATGCCCACATTTGATACTGTAAACAGTTAATTTTAAAAAATTTTTGTGAAATTGTTTATCATATCGTGTATAGTGGTCCCTGATTATGCGAGACATTCACCAACGGGACGGATTTACGAGTTGATTAGAGAGTGCATGATTGTGTAGTACACAACCTTTCGAAGTGTGAGATATCGGGCGAGATGTGTCAAGGTCCGATTATTATGGAAACACGAAAGAGAGAGACGAAGGGGAATTCACCCGATTTTTTGAGTTCAAGACTTGAGTCAAACTTTCGCCCGACTCCTAGGTTCGGGGTTGTACGAAAAGAGGGTGAATCGTGTGTGTGTGTGTGTGTGTGCAAGCAATCGACATGATCAATGAGAAAAAAAAAAAGGGAAGAAAAAAGGGTAAAACGTCTATTCTATGGCATTGTGGGTTTAGGGTGATAAATTTTGTATGAAATGCTATATATGAGGTAATTTCATAATATACTGT